GGATAAAAAGGTGGCAATTTTTATAGGTGTTTAAAACCTTTTTTGCTTTCCTGACAACATGTTTATGTGTTAGTTAAAATTTTTTTTTTATTGTAATACTAAAGTTTACTCTTTTTTTTCAAAACTGTTGTTGTCGAAATAAAAACAAACAAACAAAACAAACTGACTGGGAACTAAGGGTTTTTCTAGATAAATTTACGGAATTTTAAGGAGAATTCAGTTCAATGTAGTAGCATTTGAATTCTGAACACCTTGATTGAAAGAAAACTAAATATCTTAGAAAAGCTACATCATTCATACTGATTACAAATACAATATTTCGAATAATAGCTCGAAATAAAATTGGAATGAGTTTATTCGCTGCTGCAAAAGCTCTACTATTTTTACCGAGGTTTTGAATTATTGTTCGATTTCGACGTGTTCTATAACGTTTTTTTCTTTTTTATGGCGATATTCGAAAGGAGCAGAAAGAAACACATGGATATATAAACCTAGCTCATTGGGTAGACACTTAATTATAATGTAAAAGCACTTCCACGATGCCAAAAAATCGTTTTTTTTCGTTAACTGTGTGCAGTTTTCCCCCAGAAACTAATAGAAAGTTTAACCCTAGAGGCCTTCTTTTCCGTGTATTAGCGAGAAAAGGAAACGTTTTTCGAATTTCAAGCCTCATTCGGGCGTCGGGTGAAAGCCAAAGGTATGTCCAAAATACGGCATGTGAAAAGAAGCCATTTTTTCAATTTGAGAAAGACTTTCGGAAAAAATGATCTGATATTCGTAATCAGGGTGAAATTCTACATCGAATGACGTATCTTTAACAAAAATTTGACACAAAAAAAATTTTCGATGTTCCATGGGATTGGCTTTTGTCCAAAAGTTTTCGAAAAAAATTACAGTCTTTTTTTTACAAGAAACTAAATGTGTCATTTTGTTTAGAATTCGATGCCACTTCTAAATTTTTTTGTTACCTACTTTGAAATAGCTTCATATGTTCGTTTACTGCGTGTATATGGACTTAAATAAACATAAACAGTTCCATCTTTAATAATTTCTTTTAATTGTTTACCAACATTATATGCTTGTTCTACACCTGTATCTGTTAAACTTACTTGTGGATCAGGTAAACGTGCATAAATTGATGTATCAAGATTTCCTTGTGACTCACCATGACGTACTAATATTATGCGATACGGACGACGATTTTTTTTAAAGTGATCGAGACGATGGTTAAAGTATAGGAGTAAGAAATCGAAAAGATTACTGTAGATAAAAATAACAGTTAGAATAATAAATGTAAGAATATAATAGTAGTTATCGTATGACATCTACAAAGAATAGATCTCAAACACATATCATATGTCTAACTCATTTTATAGAGTTCGACTATTAGCTAAATACCTTGATGATAACCGAAGCTCTCTACAAATTGTGGGGGAATAGTTCTTAGTCATTTTATTGTTCAAGTAGAAAGATACAGTGACTTTTGCCCATTTTCTAGAACATTTATCGATTCTCAATCTTACATACATACAAATTTGGGTTTTGTCCCAAACGAAAGAGAACCTTGATTACGCCTAAGAAAACAAATGCCAATTTTTGATAAACAGATGTCTTAAAAGACGCTTCATAGGAAAACCGACCTTTCGGCAACATGGCCGGCACCTGATGGTTTCCTGATTGCACTTATATGTACTGCATTTGAAAGCCCTGACAAAATGGAGATAAACCAACTATTTAGATATTTTAACCCTTTGGTTACCGGTTTAAGAAAGCAGAAAATATTCTTTCAAAAGCTTTTAAGACTTTTAATTCCTGACCTAGATTAAGAGAATTGTACAGACATAAACTTACGAGGGAACCTCATCAACTGATACCCTCTGTTTGAGCTCATACTCTGCTCATAGGTAGGACTCATAGTGTAGATAAAAACTCTAAAAGGATTCATCCCCTTGACTCTTGAAGACCTGGTTTTCTGGAAAAACAGTTTTTCA